ATCTGCATAGGCTCCAGTATCCATACTGACAAATATTATTCTAGCTAATTCTAGGACTTTTCCTTACATAAAATTAATATTTAAATCATTTAAGTAAAGCACATTTACTTCTCCAAGTGATGGGCTTCATCCAATCAGTTGAAAGCCTCCAAAGAAGGAAATGACCTCCCTCAAGTTGGAGATCCTGTTACAAACTGCCTTCAGGCTTGAATTTATTAGCATCAACTCTTTCACTGATCTTCCAGCCTTGGGCTTTCCCTGCAGATCTTGGACTTCCAGCTCCCCAACCACATAGGAGTGGGCATGACGGTGAGATTTTATTAGCACCGATGTAAGTCGGTCACAGTTGCAAAAGATGGAGCATGTGGATGGCCTTAATATTATGGACCTCTAGGACATTTGCTGCTTCTGAAAAAGTCAAGTCTTCCAGCAAGCATAGACCAAAGCCTTTCCCTTCAGTGGCACCATTTCCTTCTTACATCCCTTTTTGTACTGAATCTCCATCCAACCTCCAAACACTTGGCAACCACTGATCAATCTTGGGCTCTTGTATTTTTTGCCTTTTCCAGAATGACACATAAGTGGAGTCATATAGTATTGTAACGTTTTTTGGACTGTGTATTTTCCTTTACCATAATGCATTTGAAGGTTCAATCAGTGTGCCACATATGTTTATTATTATTATATTAGAATTGCTGGGATGGAAACCCAGTCCTCATGAATGTTAGGCAACCACCTCTATCACCGAGACACATCCTCCAACCCAGTAGTTCACCATTTTAGTTGTTGAGCAGTATTCCAGTGTATTGACTGTACCACCATGTATCCATTTACTGACTTAAGACCTGTTATCAAACTGCCTTCAGGCTTGAATTATAGCATCAACTCATTCACTGATCTTCAGCCTGTTGGGCTTCCCCTGCAGATCTTGGACTTCCCAGCTCCCCAACCACATAGCGAGTGGGCATGACGTGTGAAGATTTGTTATCAAACTGCCTTCAGGCTTGAATTATAGCATCAACTCATTCACTGATCTTCAGCCTGTTGGGCTTCCCCTGCAGATCTTGGACTTCCCAGCTCCCCAACCACAGAGAGTGGGCATGACGTGTGAAGATTTTATAGCACCTATGTAAGTCGGTCACAGTTGCAAAGATGGAGCAGTGGGATGGCCTTAATTTATGGACTCTAGACATTGCGTTCTGAAAGTCAGTCTCCAGCAGATAGACCAAAGCCTTCCCTCAGTGGGCAACCATTCCTTCTTACATCCTTTTGTACTGAATCTCATCCAACTCCAACACTTGGCAACCACTGATCAATTCTTTGCTCTTGTATTGCCTTTTCCAGAATGTCACATAAGTGGAGTCATATAGTATGTAACGTTTTGGACTGTGTATTTTCCTTTACCATAATGCATTTGAAGTTCATCAGTGTTGCCACATATGTTTATTATTATTATTATTTAGAATTGCTGGGGATGGAAACCCAGTCCTCATGAATGTTAGGCAACCACTCTATCACCGAGACACATCCTCAACCCAGTAGTTCACCATTTTTATTGAGCAGTATTCCAGTGTATGATGTACACATGTATCCATTTACTGACTTAAGAACACTTGGATCATTTCATTTTTTGGTGTTTGTAGGGGGTACTATAAACATTCATGTACAGAGCCTTGTGTGAATTAAATTTGCATTTTTTCTGGATAAATACTTAGAAGTGGGATAGCTGGATCACATGGGAAGTGTATGTTAACTTTTTAAAGACAAATAGTTTTTCAGAGTGACTTCATTTGCATTCCCATTAGCAATGTTAAGTGTTGCTCCATATCCTCGCAAGCACTTAGTATTGTCCATACACAGGGTTTTGAAAAGCTCAAGATTATAAACTCATGTCATCTCCCAGATATATGTTGGAGACCAGTGTTGAGGCCCGTGTTTTTTTGTTACATATTGCTTGTGAGGCAGGGCCTGACGAGACTGGCTCTGTGCTGGACCAGAAATTGAGTGAAGAAATTCAAGCATCACCTTGCAAGAAAGGTTCGTGTTGGAGGTGCGCACTGTATACAGTCTGATACTGGAGACATGAAGAGTGAGGACACATGCTTACTCATATACATAATCAGAAAATACACAGAGTTGAGGAACCATGTTGTACTACAGAGTTGATTTATGGTTGGCCTGCAAAGCTTTAACATTATCTCCATGATACCTGGGTGTCTGACTTGGTTGCTGGTTGAGGGAGTAAGACAGATGAGGTATTATTTAAAATCTGATTCTGCCTTGAAGACTCTGAGTCATTTCTTACTGATGTTTTTCGACTCAAAGCCAGTCAGATAGCCAGACTTGACTGTGTCATCAGTGCACAGAGGACTCTTGCAGAGAACTTCTGCCATGAGCATTCCCAAAGCCAAGTTTCTAGAGGTCTTAGTGGTTCAATCCAGAGACTGTACAGTATGAATAAGGATAATGGGAAGCTTGTATCTGGATATTCACAACACCCCCGCCAGTGCTAACCTATCCTTTTATGGAGTCACATCCTTTGCTTTTAAATAAAGCACTATACGAGTATGTTCTGTAAGTTTTATTAGTTCTTTGAACTGATAATATCTTTGCAGTTAGGTCTACAAAGTATGAATTTGCAAAATAATACTATTCCATTGTATATCAGAAGTAAGGAGACTCAGATCTTAGAACTGTATTTACTTCTCAGAGCTGCCCAAATTTAATACAGTAATAGATCAAGTAGATGAAAAAATATTTATTTTACGAAGTAAAAATCTCTAAAAATTAATGCAAAAATTTTCAACTTCTTCAAATCTTCAAGCAGGATTCTGGGACATAGTCTAACCATTTGTGTTAGTCACTTTCATTATTGTGACAATACCTTAGAAATAATTCAAAGGAGAAAAGACATATTTGAGTCCATGGTTTTTAGCAATTTCAGTCAATGGTTGCTTGGCTTCACTGTTTCTGGGCTTGTGGCGAGACAGAGCATCATGGCAGAGAAGGCAAGGAGGAGAAGAGCTTCCTAACCACATAGTGGATGGAAAGCAAAAAGAGAGCCAGGAAGAAGCCAGAAACAAGGTAGGTCTTTCCAGGGTGTGCCCCCAGTGACCTACTTCCTCCAGCTAGGCCCTACCTCTCAATAATGCCATCATATTATAAATTCATTGAAGGACTAAGTCATTGATTAGGTCAGAGCCCTCAGGATCCTTATTTCTGAAAAGCCCATCCACGCAAACAATCCTCAAACACTAAGCTTTTGGGGGCCATTTCAGATTCAAATCAGGACACTTTCATGCCAAAATATAAAGAACTGGATCAAAATTTTCTACAGAAAAGCAGCATAAGTGTAAACAGCACTGATGAAAAAAATCACTTAAACTTTCTCTAAATCACTCAAAGCACCTCCTAAAAGGATACTACTGTACTTATTTCCATTGGATTCCACAAGTTTTGTCTTTTGGCAGACTGGGGTTGAACTCAGGGCCTTGCACTTGCAGGGCAGGTGCCTCTAACCACTTGAACCATTCCACCAGCCTTTTTGGACTAGTCATTTTGAGACAGGGTCTTGCTTTACGCTCACATTGGCCTGGACACGATCCTATTTGCTTCCCTATGAAGACTGGGATGACAGGTGTACACCCAGCCATTGGTTAGGATGGGAGGTCTCATAAATTTTTTGCAGGGGTTGGCCTCAAAGTGCAGTCCTCCTGATTTCTACCTCCCAAGTAGCTAGGATTAAGGTATGAGGCACTGCACCTGGCCCCTAGTATAAATTTTTATTTATTTATTTGGTGGGTCTGGGTTTGAACTCAGTGCTTCGCACTTGCAAAGCAGGCACTCTACCTCTTGAGCCACACCTACAGCTCATTTTTCTCTGGTTATTTTGGAGATGGAGTCTTGTGAACTATTTGCTTGGGCTGGCCTCCAACCATGATCCTCCCAATCTCAAACTCCCTAGTAGTTAGGATTACAGGCGTGAGCCACCAGTACCCAGTTAAAATTTTTCATTTTAAATAAGGCATAAATTGTGGCTAAAAGCAATCCACACTTATTACACTTATTATATGCACGGTTCTTAGATTTGGGATATGGCTAAAAGCCTTTCTATATGCATTAAATTCACATTCACAATTTTCCCAGTAACAATGATAGCGTTTCTCTCTAACATGAATTCTTGTGGTTTGAAGCACCATCATACTGATCATATTCAGAGTAAATTATATCATGCTGTGAAGTTCTGAGTTTAGAGGTATCTACCAAGCTGACTAATCATCCAAATGCCCTAAGACCCAGCAATTTCACCCCCAAGTATACACAAAAGTACATACATGTACAACAGGAGACAAATATATTCTCAGAAGCATTTTTTATTATGAACTTCACCTGTAAACAATATAAAAGTCCATCAACAGTGGACTGATAAAATTGTAATATACCCATATGGAATTATATACAGAATTAAAATGAATGATAAATAATATACAGAGTATTTTAAAATTATAAATAATATACAGAATAAAAATATATGAACTTCTGCCACATGCATTCATTAGTCTTAGAGGCATAATGATGAATGAAGCAGGCCAAATATGTAAGAATACATGATATATAATCCAATTTATATAAAGGCTATATTACATAAAAACTATGTTAGAAGTCAAAACTGTGGTTAACTCTGAGGATGTAACAACTAATTTTTATTTAATATTTGCAATGAGAAATACAAGTTCACTCTCAATTTCTTTTAAAGCACCTTACTCACAGTATATCTGTGGACCACGTGCAGTTGGCAACTGCTTATTACTGGTTCACAAAGTTACATACTGAAAATGAAAACAAGCAATTTTACATGTTTTTACCCATTTAACAGAGGAAAGATTAGTCTGCTGAACCTAATAATAAAAAATTAGGCTTTTATTTTCTAGTATTCTTGTCATTTATCTAGTAATCATTGTATGTGTATGTTTTTAAAGCTAGCAAATAGTATGTGGTATAGTACCTTAAGCCACTGAATACTACATTTGCAAGCAACATCAAGAACAGGGCTTACTATGATTTAAATAGTCTTTTTGTTGTTATTTTTACAAAAAAAGTCATGTCACTTACTGAATTCTCACGGTTTCTGCCTTGTGAGTCTTCTGGTGAACAATGAGATTTGACTTACAACTGAAGAACTTGCCACAGTCTTTACATTCATATGGTTTCTCTCCTGTGTGAGTTTTCTGATGTCGAATGAGGTTTGATTTCCTACTAAAGGCTTTCCCACACTGAGGACATCCATTAGATTTTTCTCCTGTATGTATTCTGTGATGAACAGTAAGGATTGCCTTCTGGCGGAAAGACTTCCCACATTCATTACAAATATAGGGCTTCTCCCCTGTGTGAATTCTCTGATGGAGAGTAAGGGTTGTCTTTTGGCAGAAGGACTTCCCACATTCATTACAAATATAGGGCTTCTCTCCTGTATGAGTTCGCTGATGTACAGTGAGGGTTGTCTTCTGGATAAATGCCTTCCCACACTGGTTACATTGATATGGTTTCTCCCCTGTGTGAGTTCTCTGATGATCAATGAGGTATGACTTCTTTCTAAAGGCACTTCCACACTGAGTACACTCATAGGCTTTCTCCCCCGTGTGTGTTTTGTGGTGTCTAGTGAGGGTTGCCTTCTGGCGGAAAGACTTCCCACAATCAATACAAAGATAAGGTTTCCCTTCGATATGTGTTTTTTCATGAAGAGTGAGGGCTGTCTTCTGACGGAAGGCCTTTCCACATTGATTGCAAACATAAGGTTTCTCACCTGTGTGAATTCGCTGATGTTCAATGAGGTATGACTTCCTTCTAAAGCAGTTCCCACAGTAAGGACATTGAAATGGCTTCTCTTCTGTTTGAGACCTCTCATGCACAAGAAAAACAGACTTTCTGCAGAGAAATTTCCCATACTTGTTGTATGTAGAGGGCTTCTTTTCTATAAGATTACGTGGAAGAACACTGAGATCTGACTTTTCTATGAAGGCAATTCCATCTTTGTTGTATTAAAAGTTCTTTCTCCTCTGTTTGCTCTTGTGTGTGTAAATAACATTCCTTTCATTAGGAAGGATTTGTCACATTCACTACATTCAAATGGCTGCCCTGGAGTTTGAACCTTCTGATGCTGAGCAAGTTCCTGCTTACTACCAAGATCCTTTTCTGTTTGCTTGTGGAGATTCACTGCACGATGAATTTTCTCATGCTTAGTACTGAGGATTGATTTCTCCCATCCACTACTCTCGACAAACTTCTCTCTTACAGGATTTATATTTCTGATAACCAAGTCTGAAATGTTTTTAAAAACTTTTCCATCAGGTTTATATTCACATAGTGTTTTTGAAATAATATGGTGCTTGCCTAGAGAAAGAGTTTTTCCATAAATATTATTTTCTCCTTAATTAGTTTTTTGTGATTGATGAATACAATAGATTTAAAATGCCTGTCTTGATATTCTTTGAATTTCACTAAAACATCTTCAGCTTTCCCATCTTCTAGAAAAAATATAATTAAGAACATTATTAGTTTACATATAAACGCTGTGGACTGGATATATACACAAGAAACCCATGCTGGGACCATCTGTCTTGAATTGTGGTTTACAAAAAGAATGTATTATCTGTTGATAGGGAAAATATACAAAACAAACACATTTTGCTACATTACTAAAATGAGGAAAAACTGGCATAAACAAAGAAAAATTTGTGTCATAGCTTTAAGCTGTGTAGAAAAGATTAATAAACGCAAACATAAGTGAGCAGAAGACAAAGAATGGTCAAAGAAAGGTTGTTCTGGAATTGGAAAGATTCAGAGATAATTAATGAAGTGAGCATAGCTAAACAGAAGCAATGCAACAAGGAAACTTATTAGGCAGAAAAGCAAACCTACAGCTCTGTCCCCTCATGCTTTATCAAGGGTTATAAATGTTTGCACCTATTTCTTCTTTACTTTCATTTAGCCCATCTATGGCAAATGAACTTTCTCAGTCATTTCCTAGTGTCTATAGGCCCATTAGTCTAAGTCCTAAATGTCCATTTAATTATGATTTATTTTCTCTTGAAAATAGAGAATCAAGAAAGCATTAGGAATCATATTATAAAATTAACTAGAAGGCAGAGTACACTTGTACCATAAATATAATATAATCATTGCTGTGTTTTTGGCTTTTTTTGAGGGCAGGGAGTTGAGATTGGATCCAGGGCCTTGTGCATACTAGGCAAGTACTCTACCACTGAGCTACATCCTCAGCCCTTTCATTTATTTTTTTAAAAGAGGGTCTTTATAAGTTGCTAAAGCTGGCCTGGAACTTGAGATCTTCTATCTCAGACTCTGAGTAGCTGGAATTACAGGTGTGTGCCACCATGTTCAGCAGTCATTGTTACATTCTGATTTCTGCTATCATCAATTTAATTTTCCAGAGATGGTTAATAGTGAAATTTTCCTGACCATAAGTTTTAAGTTTTCCTCTTTTCACTATGCTGAACTACTTTTTTTCCAGTTTTAGAGAAAGATGAGTTCAAGTTCTCATTCCAATTCAGTCACATACTTTTCTATTCTCTACCGGGGTTGTGAAGCAATAGATTCTTCAATGTATATGTATGGCACTGATTGACCTTAACCATTATTTTTCTATAAATTATTGTCTCATAAAAATCTTACTACCACTCATATTTGATGAGGAAATTTCAAAGGTAGAGTCAGCTTATCTATGACATGCATTTTTGTTTACAATAACACCATATGGGAAATAGTGCAAATATATAGAATGGAATCCTACCTCAGGAATAAAAAGGAAAAAAACTCCTCAATACACAAGGACAACAGGAATGAATTTCAAACATTTTGCAGAATGTAAAATTTATGCAAAAGAGTACATGCGGTACAATTCCATTCATGTACTTCCAGAAGACATAAAACTAGTGGAGTTACATTGCCTTCCTAAAAACCTCAAACACATTTAGGAACTTGCTAATATCCAATCTGTCCTAAAGCCTTCACATAGTCTTTCTACCTTTCAGTGACTAATTTGTCTGATATTTTAATAAAATTATTGTTTGAACCATCCATTGCAAGAACTCTTTAAACAACCTGATATTTTAACATGACTATTCTACATAAACTGCTCATTTTATATTATTACTTTCCCAACTAAAACTTAGTTTTGGAAGTCAATATTTTGAAAATCTTTTTTGAATTTTTCTGAATTAACACATTGTTATCTGAGGTGAAGGAATGTTATTTTTGCAGACAGAACTCACCAGTAAATGATTTTGGAACTTATGAAGATGAAGCTTTCCTTGCATGACACCCAGATAATCAAAGAAGTAACTATTAAATACCTAGCCTCTATTACAAATCTACTGTAAGGAAAAGTCACCAAATTGAGAAAGAAGGTTCAAATGAAACAATGTTAAATCAGGTATCAAACTATTAAATTGCTGACCAGTGGCTTACATCTGTAATCCTAGCTATCTGGGAGGCTGAGGTCAGGAAGATCTCGATTCAAGGGCAGCAAATAGTCCGAGAGACCCCCATCTCCAAAATAACCAAAGGTGTGGCTCAAGTGGTAGACCACCTGCTTTTGCAAGCGTGAAACCCTGAATTCAAACACTGGTCACATCAAAAAAATTATTAGATAATGTGTCTGTTTGTATGTTACAGATATTAAACAGTATGTGAATGCAGAAAAAAGGAAGATGAAATTTTGGAAGAAAAGCTGATAAGATTACTGTTTGTGTCTGTATGTTTATGCATGTCTATGTATATATGTATACTATTTTCTTACCTTTGGATAGTGTTATCAAACTAATTTATAAAATCTCTTAAAGGACTTCTATTCAAATGGTCTTAGAGATACAGGAGTACTAATATTCCACCCCTAAAAAATGTGCCACTTAGGCCACATGCCTTGCAAGTTTATGTGACTTGGATAAAACTTTGGTAAAATAAGGAACTATACATTTCAAAATGCTAGAAGAGCCAGGCATAGTGGCACATGCTATAATTCTATCTACCCAGGAAGCATAGGTAGGAAGTTCACAGTCCAAGGCCAGCCCTGGGCAAAAAGTGCAAGACAATATCCAAAAAAATAACTAAAGCAAAAACAACTGTGTGTTGCCCTTAGTTAAAAAAAAGAAACATGAAAATAAAAAACAAACACTAAAAGAAAGGATTTTTTGAATGTTTTTACTATAAAGAAATGATAAATGGTGCCAGGTGCCAGTGGCTCACGCCTATAGTCCTAGCTACTCAGGAAGCAGAGATCCGGAGGATCTTGGTTCAAAGCCAGCCCAGACAAACAGTTCCAAGAGACCCTATCTCAAAAAACTCTTCACAAAAATAGGGTTGGTAGAGTGGCTCAAGGTGTAGGCCCTGAGTTCAAGCCTCAGTACCACAAAAAAAAAAAAAGAGACAAATGATAAATGTTTTAGGACATAGATGTATTTAACCTGATTTAAATATTATAAAATGTATACATACATAAAGACATCACATTAATATGTATACTTTTATGATTTTATGTATCAGTTAAAAATAAATTTAATTTAAAAAAATTTAAAAGATTAGTTTAATATTTTTGGTATGTCTTCTGAGCTATCCACATTAAGCATAATGTAAGTATACACTTTTATTCTATTTGGTTTCACAAGTCAACTAAGCCAGGATTATATTTATTGGATATTTTAAAATTATAAAAATTATATAACTTCACCTTAAGAAAAAATGTACAGAGTCATAAGTGGTAGCACATATCTATAATCTCAACATATAGGGGGATGAGGCAGGAGGATCACAAATTCAAGGCCAGCCTGGGCTACATAGTGAGATGCTCCTCAAAAAAAAAAAAAAAAAGGCAGCATAAACATACTTAGCAGTTCACTAAATTTGGAAGAAAGACATGCAACGGTTGATTTTTTTTTTTTTTGGTGGGACTGGTATTTGAACTCACGGCTTCACACTTACAAAGCAGGTGCTCTGCTTGAGGCACACCTCTAGTCCATTTTAGTCTGGTTACTTTGGAGATGGGGTCTCAAGAACTATTTGCCTAAGCTGGCCTTGGACTGTGTTCCTCCTGATCTCAGCCTCCCTATGATTACAGGTGTGAACCAGCAGCACCCAGCTAATATTTTATTCTTGAGCCTAGTATTAACTACAGGTTTTCCATAAATGCTCCTTATCAGATTCTGGAAGTTCCTTTTACATAGTTTTCTGACAGTTTTAATTGTAAATGGCTACTGATTTTAATAAATATTCTTTCTTATTCACTCTGTCACTATATTGTATTACATTAATTAACCTGAATTTTAAACTAACCTTGGACTCCTTGGATGAACCCCATGTGGACGAGATGCATTATTCTTGTTACAGATTGCTAAAACAGGTTCACCTATATTTTGTAAGCATTTTAGTCATGATTTTATAAACAATACTGGACTCTAGTCTTATAATGTCCTTGAAAAGTTTTTCAAACCCCTAGCAGTTGTGTCAGCCATAACAAATAGGGGCAGTTCCTCTTCATCTATTTTCTTACAGAAGTTGTGTTGCTTACTTAAGTGTTTGATAAAAATCATTATTAAGCCATCTGTACAGTAGGTCCTAGTCAATATATTAGGGTCATAAAATGAAATGAAAGTAATAGTTTACAAATATAGAAGTGAAATGTTTTTATTTCAGAGGATATGGTTGGTTTGTTTTTGCACTTGCAAAGCAGGGTCTCTAACACCTGAGCCACACCTTCTGTCTATTTTGCTCTGGCTATTTTGGAGATGGGGTCTCAGGAAATATTTGCCAGGGCTGGCCTTGAACCTCAATCCTCCCTATCTCAGCCTCCCAAGTAGCTAGGATTACAGGTGTGAACCACCCATGTCTGACTAATAGGATATACTTTATTTGTAGAAAACTGAAAGGAACCAGGCATGGAATTACACACCTGTAATTCCAGCATTTGGGAGGCTGATGCAGGAGGATCATGAATTTGAGGCCAGCTTGGTGAGACCCTATCTTTATACATTAGGCACAGCAAGAGATAAATGACAGTAACAACAGAATTATAACAATGTACTGCAATAAAAGTTATGTGAATATGGTTCCTGTCTCAAAATATCTCATTGTATTCTACTCACCCTTCTTGTGATAGTGATATAATGCCTACATGATGAGATGAAGTGAGGTGAATGAGGTGGGCATTGTAACACACAGTTAGGCTATTACATAAGGGTTGCTAGAACACAAGCATTGTGATATCAGGTCAGTCAACCTAATAACCAAGATGGCTCTTAAGTGACTAACCAGTAGGTACATAGACAGTACGGATTGTTGGACAAAGGGGTGATATATGTCCTGGGAAGGACAGAGTGTGACCGTGTGAGAGTTCATCACAGTCCTCAGAACAGTGTGCATTTTAAAACTTATGAATTGTTTATTTCTGGAACTTTCCAGTTAATATTTTCAGACTGCAGTTGACCATGAGTAACTGAAGCTGGAAAGTGAAACTATGGACAGGAGGGGCTACTTTGCTAAATGACAGTGAGAACAACAATAAAACCAAACATATCCAGAAGTGTGCAAGTCAATATTTAAAAACAAACTGTGCTTACACAGATTAGCAAACTAGGAAAAGAATAGTTTCCTATTACTGGGCTGGTAGTATAGCTCAGTGGAACATGTACTACTGGGTTCAATCCGCAACACCAAAAAAAAGTCCTATTTGCAATGGCATCAAAAATATTAAAAGCTAAAGCCAGGTGTGATGGTGTATACCTATACTCCCATCACTGTGGAGGCTTGAATTTGAGGCCAACCTGGGTTACACAGCAAGACCCTGTCTCAAAAAATAAATAAAACAGAAACTTAATGAACAATATATAAGAAGTTCATACTAAATCAAATGGAAAGCTATGATATGGTTTGGACCAGCAGACTCAATATTGCTAAGATATTACTTCTCACAAATCCCAGTATTGTTATTTAAAGAAATCAAGAGGTTGATTCTAAAATGTATTTGAAATGAAAATGACCAAGAATGGCCAAAAATTTGTGTGTGTGTTGCTGGAAATTGAACCCAGAGGCTTAAGCATGGTAGGCAAGTGCTCCACTACTGAGCTATATACCCAGAACTCATTATTTTAAAAAATGAAAACTAGACATTATTGAAGAAAATCTCCTGCTCATCAAAGATATCATAAAAACAAACAGGCAAGCTGGGTGCTGGTGGCTCATGCCTGTAATCCTAGCTACTCAGGAGGTAGAGATAGGAGGATCTCAGTTCAAACCCAGCCCAGGCAAATAGTTCTCAAGACCCTATCTCAAAAAAAACTCTTCACAAAAAAAAAGGGCTGGTGGAGTGGCTCAAGGTGTAGGCCCTGAGTTCAAACCCCAGTACTGCAAAACAAAACAAAACAAACAAATAGGCAAGTCACAGACTAGAGAAAGTATTTACAATATATATATATGTTAAACAAAAGATTTCCATTTAGAACATGTAAAGAATTCCTACTATAATGAAAGGAAAAATATATACTTCCCAATGAAAGAAATGGATAAAACACTTGAATGACACCTTTGATATAAAAAGCACTTGAAAAAGTTATCAACACCATTGGTCATATGAGAAAATTTAAAATAAACTGTTATTTTATACTATCAAAATGACCAAAATGAAATCAGTGATAGTGTCTTACGTAGAAGAGAACGTGATCAAAATTCTCATATATTGCTGGTCAAAGTCTGAAATGGTATAGTAACTTTTAAAAACTGTCGGTTTCTAAGTGAAACATATATTTGTCTTATGAATTAGCAATATCACTAAGTGTTTACTGAGGAAATAAACTAATAGGTCCACAAAAATATTTTATAAGAATGCTTATAGAAGCCTTATTCATAACAGCCAAAAGGGAAACATCAAAAAGAGATGCACAGATAAATTGGTATGTTCATACAATTGAGTATTATTCCACAATTAAAATCATTATGTATGCAAAACATGTATAAATCTCATTAAGCTGAGGCAAAGAAATCAGACATGAAAAAGGTTTACAACAGACAAAACTAACCTATGCTAGTCAAAAAATCTCAACTGTGATTATCTCAGGGGCAGGGACTCACTTAGAAGATGGAACTTAATGGCTAATGGAAGTGTACTTTATCTTGTTTGGGATGTGGGATACATGGTTTATACTTCTGTCAGAACTCAAAGAACTCTACAGTTAAGATGTCTATGTACATTCTACCTACAAAGCCTAGAATGGATTCTTGGTAAGGTGATAACAGTCAGTATTTCTATAAACATGAGGCAAATGTGGAAAACATTTACATGGAAGTAAATAATACTTGAAAAATACTTGAAACGAAAATTTAGATTTTAGAGGCATAAAAATCAGCCAATTCACAGGTCTCTGGTCTTTAAAAACACATCCCTAACAGGATGGCTAGTATTAAAAAAAAAAAAAGCCTAGAAATACAAGTGTTGGTGAAAATGTGCAAAAATTAGAATCCTTATGCAATATGGTAGGAATGGAAAATGGTATTACTGCTATGGAAAACAGCCTGGGATTCCTCAAAAGTTAAACGTAGAGGGGTGGAGGCGTGGCTCAAGTGGTAAAATGTCTGCCTGGCAAGTGTGAAGCCCTAAATTCAAACCCCAGGACTGCCAAATAAATAAATAAACATTAAATTACCATATGAGCCAGCAATTCTTCTGGGTATATCCCCCAAAGAATTGGAAGCAGGGACTCAAGCTGATATTTGTACACCATGAGCACAGCAGCATTATTAATAGCTAAAAGATGAAAGCAACACATATGATCACTCGATGAATGAATGAGCAAAAGGTACAACTGAATATTATTAGTTAGCTGTAAGATGGAAGGAAATTCTGACGTGTGATACAACATGAAAGAGCTCTGCAGACATTATGTTAAGTGACATAAACCAGTCACAAAAAGGACAAATACTATATGATTACACTTATAAGAGGCAACTGATATAGTGAAACTGAGAGACAGAAAGTAGAATGGTGGTTGCTAGTAATGGGAAGTTTTGTTTAAAAAGTACAAAGTTTTAGTTTTGCAAGATGAACGGTTCTGGAGATGGATGATGGTGATGGTTACACACAGTGTGAGTGCACTCCATGCCTTCAAAATGTTTAAGGTGGAAAATGCTATGTGCATTTTACTACAATTTTAAAAACTCAGATTCCTACAAACACTCAAAGTTGTCAATACCTGAGATTTAACATCCACATGTCTTTTATCTGTACAGACTCACCTAGGTAGCTCTGATCTGGAAAAATTCTCTCTGTCCACAGCTCTTCTCCTTGTTCCAACTTGCGGATCATGTCAGGCTTAGTTATGTGAAACCCTGAGAATGAAACATGAGACTGGGTCTAAATTTTTTGGACTTCAAAATATTGAAAATAAAAATACGTTTCAAGGTTGCAGATAGGGGGTGGGGGAAGGGGGGAGAAATGACCCAAGCCTTGTATGCACATATGAATAATAAAAGAAAAAAAACAAAAAAGGTTGCAGATGAAGTACACTTTAACATCTTACCAAATCAGTATTTTGTAATAGGTAATCATATTTTCTGCTAACAAAAAGAGATTCATTACCTTTGATCTCTGAAATGTACTGTTCCACATGTTTCAGGGATTCTTGAAAGGAGTTGCATGACACTGAAAGATTCAAGGAGTGTTCCCTTACCCACAGAAAGGAAGTGGCAGTAGTTTTCCAGCATCACGTCCCTGTAGAGGGCCTTCTGAGCAGGGTCTAGTTGCTGCCACTCCTCCTGGGTGAAGTCCACAGTCACATCCTTGAACGACACTGATCCCTGTAAGGGCACACTCTAGTTCATCCTGAAGTGATCGGAAATGGGTGAGAACTAAATATTGGAGACCTAGTTCTGACAAAGTTCAGTGCTTGGAATACTTTCCTTACTTTGTGTTATATTAAAAAAATCTCTCTGAAAATGCATTCATCAGTATTTACTTATTATGTCATGCTAAAAACATAAACTGAGATTATGCTATTTGTCCTGAATACAGCTGGTTGTATAGTGGACCAAAATGAATAGAACCCTGATTCTGTGCATGAGAAGTAAGAGACTAAGAGAGAGGCATTCATGAAAATCCATGCATTCAATAGATGTTACAGAGACAATGAGAAATACACACATGGGAAAGTGTCACAAAACAAAGAAAAGAAGTTTCATTTTGTACTCTGAAGCTTCATTGAGGATATAAAGTTTTGTACTCACAATAAATTTGTTTTGTGGGAATACAGGGCATCAGCTTTTAAAAATTCATGGGGAGAAGAAAACCAGTTAGTAAATTCAGGAAATTGCAAAATACACAGTATGTTAGGAAACAGTCTTTGAGCTCTAAAAAGGAACAGATACGGGGAGGGAGGCAGTGGGCATATTATAGAAGATAACTGGATTGTTTCCTTCAAAGCACTCACTGGTCTTGAAAACATCTTGAGCATGCTTCCAATGTATTCAGTTATCAATAATGGCAATCCATACTGTCCATCATTACTACTGTTAAATGTAAACTACTAGCATTTTCTTCCCTTCCAATATACTGTTGTACATTCCACTATGATGCATGCCCACTTCGAGCCTGCTGCTTTAAGGAATAAAGAGAATATAAAGAAACCTAAGTCATACACATGTTGTATGGTAAAATTTGTAAGTTAAAGGCAACACTCTTGAAGAGTGGAGAGGCTTAAAGTGTGTTAGGGGGAAATATATTAGGTAAGCACTGTTAGAGGTGCCTCATGGACTAGGCTGGTATTCCTGGCTGACCGAGGACAAATGGTTCCTACGTGATGAAGTCCAAGAGAAGGGTTATAAATTGGTTGTAGAGTGGAAAAAAAGAGGGCAAGTGTATGGGTGTTGGGAATAGAAAATGGAAATGGGAAACAGAAGAAAGAATAGGTGAGCCAAAACAAAGGAGATAATGAGGTAATCCTTGGAAATGCACTTGAGGTGTATATGGAACATATGGGTGGTGACAGCTACTGGATGGTGAATATATGGTTCTGACACTGCACAAGAATGGACAGAAGAATCTGAGAGACTGGAATGAAGTAAGTACAGCCTTTATAGTGAATCTGAGCATGCTTAGAGAAAAAAAGAAGTTATGAAGAGAAAAGAAACACCACCTGGGGAAAACCAATAAAGGTTGGTAGATGAAGAATTTTTCAAAGAAAAACATAGAAACAGGACAAAGTACCATCTTTGATTCAAGGGTAGAACATTCAAGAGTATACTAGCAAATGCATTTCCTTCTCCTGTATGCACATATAAGTAATTAGAAGAAATTAAAAAGACAAGAATAAATCTACAGCAGCATTGGAATACTGGAGAGGTTTTCACTGGTAGGCCATGATTTGTAGGGATTACTGGCAGACAAAAATCAAACAGAAGATCAGTTTCACACTCAAATCTCTATCCTGAAAGCCTCACAAAACAGAGTATCTTCCCACAAAATAATAATGTAGCCTCCCAATTCTAACTCCCACCTCCACCTCACAAAACCTTCATTAATGGAGATCATCCAGGTTTTCCCATATCTGCTCCTTGATTGCTCACAAATTAGTTCTTAAATCAGTGTCATGAAAAGGAAAATTCCTTCAAATAATATGCTTCCATTTAGATCAAGATAAGAGAGGCTGGGCATGATGGTGCATGCCTATAATCCCAACTATTTGGAAGAAGGAGGTAAGTAGGATTACAATTCAAGAAAAGCCTGGGCAAAAAGTTAACAAGATCCCCATCTCATCCAACAATCTGAGCATGGTGGTACGCACTTGTAATCCCAACAACTGCAGGAGGCATAAGTAAGAGGATCATAGTTTGAAGCCAGCTCTGGACAAACATACAAAACCCTATCTGAAAAATAATTAAAAGCAAAAAAGGCTTGGGGCATGGCTCAAGTAGTAGAGCACTTGCCTAGCAAGCACAAAGCCCCAGTATTGATACAGGAAAAAAATCAAGATAATACCTTTTGTGTTCTAGCAGAACTGTTCTGAGACAACTGAGAAAGGAGACGATGAATGATATAACCAATCAACATGTTAACGTTAGCTATAATGTTCATCTAAGGTGAGCGTGGGGAAGGCTTAAGTTGGAATAGAGAAACTGTGGATGGGGCTGGGAACAGGTAAGGCAAGTGATGCAACCAGGTGCAAAATGTAGGAGGGCATGGCCCTGAGAGAACCTTAGGCCCCTGCTCGCCTCACCCTAACCAGGACTCTGAATGGAGCCCGTTTCATGGAAACAAATCTCACCCTTGCTAAGCAAGTGTTCATGTTCTCTGAAAGAAACGAGAGGAAACATCTCACCTTAGGCATGGCTTTGAGATTTGTAAGAGATGAACCTTGTTTTTTGAGTTCTTCTTTTGGAAAAGGGAAGAGTCCTATGAAGGCAAAGATGGAGATATACAAGGAGCCATGAGAGAGCATACTTGAGTTAGATCTCCCAAAGTAACTCAGTTAAATCTGCATTAAAATTTCACTGTTTCAGCATTTTCCCACTTGGTGTCCAGAAATCTAGGACAGAGATTAGTGGGAAAATGGACAAGTCCTGTTTTCTTCCCCAAATTTGAAACCTAGTCTCCTGCTCAGGAAGAATGAATTCTTTGGAACCTGTTGTAGCTTGACAAAAGGAACATTTTTCTTTTCACTCTGCAACTCTACCTTTCATTTCCCATGGAGCACAGGCTTATTGGATATTTCCAAATTGTTCTTCATCCTCTTTTTGTCAATTTACACTGTCACCAGCAGTGCCTGAGAATACCTTCCTATGCCCTGAAAAATATAGTTGTCATTTAATCTTTGCCAATCAGGTCTATTATCAAAGCTCTAAAGTATCTATTTCTTATTATGAGTGAGAATAAGCTTTTAATAAACTTACAGACATTCTTATTTCTTTTTGTAGTGGTAATCTCCTTATGGTATACTTTTAGTTTTCTTATGAGTTTTTACTTCCTAATCAATTGATAGTACTTTCTGTTTTCTTTTCTCCCCAGGGGCCTAGGATCAAACCCAGGGCCTTGTCCATGCTAGGCAAAGCACTCTATTGCTGAATAATACCATTGGACCTATCTTCTGTTTTGTCTATTCTTTAATCTAGAAAATTAATTGAAATACTTTTACTTAGCTTTTCATATAACTATTAAAGTGTTTGACTTGTAGCCAGGTGCTGGTAGCTCACACCTGTAGTCCTAGCTACTCAGGAGGCAGAGAGCAGAAGAATCACAGTTCAAAGCCAGCCCAGAGAAATAGTTCACTAGACCCTACTTGAAAAAAACCCCTTCAAGAAAAAGGGCTGGTTAAGAAAATGTGGTATCTATACACAATGGAATTTTATGCAGCCATGAAGAAGAACGAAATGTTATCATTCGCTGGTAAATGGATGGAATTGGAGAACATCATTCTGAGTGAGGTTAGCCTGGCCCAAAAGACCAAAAATTGTATGTTCTCCCTCATATGTGGACATTAGATCAAGGGCAAACACAACAAGGGGATTGGACTATGAGCACATGATAAAAGCGAGAGCACACAAGGAAGGGGTGAGGATAGGTAAAACACCTAAAAAACTAGCTAGCATTTGTTGCCCTTAACGCAGAGAAACTAAAGCAGATACCTTAAAGCAACTGAGGCCAATAGGAAAAGGGGAACAGGTACTAGAGAAAAGGTTAGATCAAAAAGAATTAACCTAGAAGGTAACACCCACGCACAGGAAATCAATGTGAGTCAATGCCCTGTATAGCTATCCTTATCTCAACCAGCAAAACCCCTTGTTCCTTCCTATTATTGCTTATACTCTCTCTACAACAAAATTAGAGATAAGGGCAAAATAGTTTCTGCTGGGTATTGGGGGGGGAGAGGGAGGGGGCAGAGTGGGTGGTAAGGGAGGGGGTGGGGGCAGGGGGGAGAAATGAACCAAGCCTTGTATGCACATATGAATAATAAAAGAAAAATGAAAAAAAAAAAGGGCTGGTGAAATGGCTCAAAGTGTAGACCCCAAGTTCAAACACCAGTGCCACACACACAAAAAAAGTGTTTGACTTGTGAAATTTTTCCCCGTAAATTTTGTTTAGCAATACTACACATTGTATAATCCACATTTCCTTAACTAATGGCAAATGTATTTTACATTTTCCTATGTGTTTGAGATTATCTGGACTTACCAGTTAATTTTCCACTTCACATCTTTATTGATTCACCTCTATCACACTACTTGAGAAGCATAGTTGCTTAAATTATTATTTATTGATTATAAGGATTTTTATCCTTAATTTAAGGATTAGGTAACACTACTTGGTGGTACTGGAAATAGATAAGAAAATGATAAACTGATGAGGCACTCTTTCTACTCCTCAGGCTTCCAGATGGAGAAGCTACATTGCTAAGTGAAGTCTGAAGCATTGATTGCTACAGTGAATATTTTAGCCAGCAAAACAGCTATTTTAATGACTAAAATGAGATTGGCCTTATAATTAAAAGCATACCTAATACTTTTTTTCCCTAGGCACCGGGTTTGAACTAGGCAGCACTCTTAGAGCTTAAGCCACTCCGCCAGCCCTATTATGTGATGGGTTATTTCAAGATAGGCTCTCAGGAACTATTTCCCAGGGTTGGCTTTGAACGCTGCACCTGAGTGGCTAGGATTACAGGCGTAAGCCACCTGGCGCCCTGCTCCAAATACTTTTTAAATTTCATTTAGTTAGAAGAGTTGAAAGAGTTAGATATGAGGACTGGGGGCGTGGCTCACGGGATGGAACCCAACGTAGAGGCTCCAAATACAAATACCAGTACTTCCAAAACAAATAGTAGTTATGGTTAAAAAATATTTTTTTCCTGCATGCTCCCTTTGTACACTATTCATTTCACACATACTGTACTTGGTTAGCATGGTGCTCCCAGGTAATGAATGTACCGACCTGTCATTATGAAAATCTTACCTATTCCTTTCCAATACTTTTACCTCTATTTTACTTGCTAAATTGCAACTTAGTTACAATTTTGGGGGCCGGCTTAATAGCTACTATTCAGACAATGACACATTTCACAACCACCTTGACCTGGCCTCAATCACTTAAATATTTAGGCTACCACGGTCATAAAAACATCATACATAACGTGGGATTTAAAAAAAATGCACAACTAGTTAAATTCAGAAAACCACTAACCCGTGGTCCTCACACGTCACTCCCATCCACGATTCCAGACAGCGACACAATCAAATTCAACAATCACGTCCAAATTCCCCTCGGTTACGTACAGTCTCAACCAAATACGACTCACGCGGAGGAACCCCGCGCGACACGGTCCACCTTCCACACCACAGACCGCAACCCCCCATGGCCCCCGCCCAAGACGGAGCAGGTGGGGTGCGGGAGGCCAACCCCCCCCCAAACACCCGCGCGGCTGCGTTGCTTCGGGGTCACACAGGCAAAACTCCGCTTCGCGAAGCGGAGCTCGCCCCGGGGACAGTCGGTCATCCTCGGGGTCACGCCCACGGACCGCGCCCGAGGCCCTGCGCCTACAGATCCGAGCGTCAAGGTGTCGCAGTCCCGGTTCCCTCCCCAGAATTACCAGGCCCGGCTCGGACTCCCGGTTTCCTCCCCGGCCTCCCATCCGGTTTCGCCCCCTCAGTCCGCTCTCGGGTACAGATCATCCAGACCGCCTTCGGCCTCCTCACAGCGTCTCCGCCCCGCCGCGGCTCAGCCGTTTGCGCCTGCGCACTCGCGCCTCGCTCGCGCTCCCAGGAGTCTCCGGGGCGGCCCGTTAGGCGCCACGCGCTCCTGGACCCAGCGCTGCTCTCGGCTTTATCAACGCTGGTTCTGCTCTGGCTTGAACTGATTTCTCCAGGTTCCCAGGCCTGTCCATGAACTTCGGCCTCCGGTTCATTTTCCTCTGGCCTAGCGGTCATGGTTTTCTGTGGTGAGTTGAGGCGGCCCGGGCTCAGGTGCGAGACGCGGATGAGGCTCGGGGAGGCCGGTAGAAGCTTCAGGCGGGTCTGAGCGTCAGAGCTGCTGAGGAGAGTGTTTGTGTGACTGCGGTCATGTGTGCGATTGTTGTGACCGCGATCGCGTGGGGTGTGGTTGTCAGGGTGAGGGCGAGTGACGTCGTCCGGGTGTGTGCAGGCGGGGAGGTCTCACTGGTTCTGATTGGGCCCTTGGGACCGATTGGGGGCGGGGCCACATGTGTGGGCGTGGTTAGCGGTGTCTGGGACGCGTCATACTGCGATCCTATGACAGCGCTGAGAACTGGCCCAATGTAGCCCTTGGTGGGGGGCGGAGAGGAGGACGGTGTTAGGAATAGTTCTGGGCCTGAGGATTATGTGAACGAGGTCCCGATGTGACTGTGGAAAGCTCCGAGGCTTCCCGTTTTAACGCATGGCCTCCGTGTCTATGGTCCAGCCAAATGCCCTCGAGGTGGGGGTTATAAATTCTATTGTTTCGTGGCATTTGTTGCACTGTTCTTGCTTTGCTCGTCATTTCACCTTATAGCCACAATACACAGCCTCCAGTCAAATGGCCATCAAAGGAGCAGTTGGATATTTGAGACCTAGAATGAAGGGTTCCGATTAAAAAGCACAGCCTTGTGTCTGGTGTGGAGATTTTAGAGCTGGAATTGCCCACAAGGCAGAGTCCTAGGAAGACTGGAAAATGAGGTCACAAAAGTAGGATTCCTCCTTCCAATGATCCTTTTTAGAAGTTCTTTGAGGAGAACTATTCATATTGCAGATGACACCATTTTCTTGGTTCTGTCTTTTAGAAAGTGCTCTCAACATAAAAGATTCAAGTCTCAGGCTTCAGAGAAGTTGACTTTTATGATGCAGGGAAGGGTCAACAGTATTCGGTCTTTCTCATACTTCCATCAGGGTCTGTTTACCTTGGGTGATGGGGCTTGCTGTTTGTTTTGTGGAATGCCTTTTTATTTTTCAGGATGTAGAATAACTTCATCTGAAATGCTGGACTCCATTGGCTCATGCCTATAATCCTAACTACGTGGGAGGCTGAGATGGGATGATTGAGGTTCCAGGCCAGCCCAGGCAAATATTTCATGAGACCCTATCTACAAAATAACCCAAGCAAAATGGCCTGGAGTCAGAGCTCAAGCGGTAGTATGCCTGGTTTGCAAGTTCAAATCCCAAATCCCAGTCGCACCAAAAAAAGAAAAAAAGACTCTGCCAATGACATCATTATCATTGATGCAATGATCATTTGATCATTTGCATGGTTCCTAGGCCTTCTCTTCCCAGTTGTTGATTAGTATGGTAACAGATCTTTCCCAGTATCTCAAGAAATGTCCTTTCTAGAGTTAAGTTTTATATGACTACTTGACAGATACTCATTTCCACAGTGCTGTTTTTGTCTCAGCTTTCTCACTATATAGAATGCCCTTGTGGAGCTTTAGAAATAAGAAATAAATCCATTTGTTAGTGTGTAACAAAGGCAAGGAAATAGGTGCTGGAATAGAAAGACATAAACAGGAACTTCTTTGATATAGTCATCTAGTATCTTCTTTTTTGTGGGAGAACAGTAACTAAATAGACTGAGAAGAAACTTTGACATGTGCAAGGCTGTGTCAAAGACCTTTGTGCTGAGAAGGCAAGGCCCTGGCACAAAGGAGGTGAGCAAAGTTCATCAAGGCTGCCTTGCAAGTAGGGAAACTGAGGCAGTGGAGACAGACCTTGGCATGAGCATGGCTCTGTCAAAGGGCCTCTTGGCTGATAGGCACCGACCCAGCCAAGGAGAGGCAAGGTTTCCTTGCAGAGAAAACAGGACATGCTGATGTAGTCAGGAGAGTCTGCAGTAAATAACAATATACTATAGCTGCGTTGTTCCTGCTGCCTATGCGACTGGACCCATGAGAACTTGACCTGCGCTTCACCCCGCTTTCCCATACTTGCTGTATAAATAAATGTGCTTGAAGGTGGAGGGGGTTGCTGGCATCATCAGGAGAGCTGGACCCAACCAGTCCCAAGCTTTTCTGTATGTCTGTCTTTGTGTCTTTTTTCTTAATCCCCAGTCACTCCCTGAGCAAGTCAAGAGATCTGCTCAGGCTGGCCGTGAGACTTTTTGAGAAAGAAATGTTTAGCTCTGAAGGATAAAAAGGAGCCAATCATATATTGAGCCTGTCTCTGAGAGATGAAAGATATGAGTTGCTCTAAGGAATAAGAAATGCATGGTCCAGGAACTAAAACAGAATTTTAGGGCAAAGGATAAATGGAATAAAATCCATCTTATTAATAAGTAAGACCTTGGTATCCACATGCAATTGCTTGTATTTTTGTCTAGAGCAAACATTTTAAAAATTTTAAGTAGATGGGCATGGTGGTACATGCCTGTTATGACAGCATTTGGGAAGCTGAGGCAGGAGAATTCCAAGTTTGAGGCCAACCTGTTCTATTATAGCAAGACCCTACCTCACCTCTCCCTCTACTACCTACTTGGCCTGCAGTAATATATCTAGTAGAGATATTAAAAACAAAGAAGGGCTGGGATGTAGCTCGGTGGTACAGCGCTTGCCTAGCATGCGTGAGGCCCTGGGTTCGATCCCAGCACCAAAAAGAAAAGACAAAAAAAAAAAAAACCTCTCCCTAAAAACCTGGGACCTTTTGGTGTGAATTTAGTTCATTTGGGTAGTTGTTTAACAATAGTACTGGCTAAAACTTTGTAAGAATTTGGGTGTTCACCTGAATTTCAGAACCATGGACTTAACCTTTTGCTGTTTTCATTTAACCTCCACATCTTCTATATAATCTCCTCATTCTCTGTTTCTGTGGTTGTCATCAACTTTTATGTTAGGTGTCAACTGCTAGTATTCATTATTTTTGACTGTTCTGTCCTGAATGGTATTTTTTTCTGGTATGGGGAAATGAAATAATTTATTTCCTTTCTTTTGTTCTTTCAGATTTGGAGTCAGATGCAAGGCAAAAAGTTCACGAGATCGCAGCTCAGCCAGTAAAAACTGGGCATGGTGGGGCATGCCTGTCATCCCAGCTAGAAGGGAAGCATAAATACAGTAGAATCATGGTCCAGGCCAGTCCCTAGCATAAATGCAATACCCTGTTCATAAAATAGGTAGATAGAGCAAAAAGGGCTGGCCATGTGGCTCAAGTGATAGAGTACCTGCCTAGCAAGTAAAAATTTGATTCCTGAGTTCAAATTGAAAAAAAAAAAAAAAAAGTACATGCAGAAATGCAATTCCAGAGGGTACTTTTGTGGTGCCCCTGAAAACAAAAAAGAATTTACAGTTTTTAGGGTTCCTAGGAAGGGCATGCAGTAGTTAGGCAGTACAAGTACAGTTACTTTGAGGATTTAAAGGTTAATCAGAAAAAGATAGGACCACAACAGTGACATTGCCAGTGGGTGACGGCTAGGGAGGTCTCAGAGATAGACTAGACTAAAACCTTTACCTGGTGTTTCCAGGTTCTTGTCACTGTCAAGACAAAGAATTCAGAGTTGAGACAAAATGAGGATATGGGAGAAAGTATACACACAAGAGGGAGTGTTGGCTTCTCAAGAATGAATCACATCCCTGGAGTTTTAGATGTTTTATGGGAAAACATTAATGGAGAGGAGGATTATTCATGCGTGTGGGGGAGAGGTGAGGAATTCCAGTAATGGGCTGGGATTTTCCTCGGAATAGGGTTTACTCCCCTTTTCTGCACTTATGTAGGGTTTTTGGATGTGTCGTGGTGGCAGATGTATGTAATGCTAGTGGTATGGAGATGCCATTATGATGAAGCAAAAGACAATTAGGTTGGCCTAGGTCTTGGTCTGCGTTGGCCATGTTGGTCCCAGTGGGTTTTGGGTAGTCTTATTTGAGTGTTCACATCATAGTGTGCTGTAATACAGCTTTGTGGTTGTATCAGCTATAGCCACCATGCAATTTGCCTCTTCCTCCCTCTGCCTATCTAGCCTATCTCCATAATAAAAAGCAGTTTTTACAACCCTTGACAGGGTTGTATGAGGGTGAAATCCCTCGAACAGAGACAGCAGTATGAGACCATCCAGGAGTACAGGACATGTTATCTACCAGAGCATATGGGGAACTCAGAAAGGAGGCCATGATCTAGATACTGCTGCTCAGCAGTAAGTGGGAGTCTCTGAGCCAGAGAGCTTTGAAGGGCAGCAGTATTTGGGTATTTCTGTTTTTATTTTAGTTACAGGGTTTATCTTACCTATTGTTAGCACATATTGGATGCTTCATGGGATATGCAAAGCTGGTAGGTTATAAATGGCTAAAAAGTGTGTTTATTTGGACTATATTTACAGCAATTGAATGTCTGAAATTTTGGGGCTTAGCATGGTGGGCTTTTAGCTAAAGGTCCTAGCCTGCTATAAAGAAGTACAATTAGGGGTCAATTAAGGCTAATCCACAGGAGCCATCTTTATGCCATTTATATGACAACAGGTTAACAAGACACCTAACAAGGCCACCTGGTCATCAGGCCTCCTACCTTAGAACTGACAGATCAGTTCACATAATTCAGTTTAATTTTTGGCTTGAGAACTGCCTGAAGGCAATTTCAAATAGTTTTGCTTGTCTACAACATTATTTCATGTATCTCAGGAGTATGAACAGCATCTAGAGGTGTCCTGGTGGGCGTTAGGGCCACCTTCAACTGTCTTATGGTCATACGCTCAAGAGCTGAAATTTCAAGAGTGAATAGTGAGTTGGAAAGTCAAGCTGAATTCTTTGGGAGAAAGAAGAATTTCCATGAGATTGCCCACACCCACCCCTTCCCCAGGTACAGTTTTTGTCATTTTTTTTCTTGTTATAAAATCAGAATGTCTTATCATAACTTTGTATTTTTTTTCAGTTGTTTTTTACTATTATCCTGGAAAGGACAAAAGAGGGACAAAAGCATTTTCACAAGAAAATATGTGTCTCTAACATAACCAGAAAGATACTTCACATGTAGAAATTGGTCAAGACAAAATTTTGAAAGTGTTTTTTTCCCAAGTGAGTTTTCATAACCCTCTACTTATTTCATCCTAACCATTTATCCAGAAAGCAGCCTAGAAAAGAGCAATTTCTTTCTGGAGATAGCCACATTTAA